GATGAAGGTTCTTATACCAACCCATACCACTGTTCTATTTAGCCTAGTACTATCTACTCTGACTGCCAGTGGCTCTACATGGGTTCAAGCAGTAGTTTTCTTGCTTGCTATCTGATCTTTGGTCATATAAAGGACTGAATCCAAAACAGTATGTGTGCAGGGCACATGCTTCACCACTAAATTATGCAGACAAGTGGCTCCTTATCTAGTAATTACACTACAAAAGGTTCTATTCAGAATGCTGCCTTCAATTCAACCTGCTGCTTTATACCCTTCATTCTTTCATATTGTATTCAATTTTTTAAACCTTTTGCTGACTTCCCTTGTCATCTTTTCACCATATTTTCTTGTACTTTTGTGTTCGAAATAATGTTGCATGTGAAAATATGCCTCGCTATAGGTTACATCCAACTAAGACATACTCATAGCAGATCTGCAGAAATCAATGACTTATTTCACTGAGTCAATGCTATGGCTTAGTTGGATACCACCCTATATGACCGCTTCTTTATAACAAGTTAGACATACCATAGTTTTGTCAAAAATCTGTATTGCTGCCCATGGATTTTGTCTTCCTGTGTGTCTCTAAAAAGTGTGTAACTTACATCTAAGCTGCATGCTGGTTTGTTCTTGCCTGCCTTTTTCAGAGTTCTAAGATGAATCTAGTTAAGATGATAAAGGAAAAATAGCAATTCGGTGGCTGTATTATACTTATCCTACATCTGTAATGCAGGTCTGTGCTGAATAATTTTCATTACACACCCACACCCAAGTTAGTGTAGGAAACAGCACTTTATGCATATACATTAAAAATCTGATTAAGCCACAGGCAACTAGACTGAATCTAAACTGATCAAGAAACCGTGAAACTGCAAAAGCAATTACATAAAGATTTCAGTCAATTCAACCATCCTAAGTCTTTCCCTGGGCCGTTCACTGACACTCCAAAATTGTATCTTCAAAAGAAGGAACCTTCCAATTGCATCCAGAGCAGGTACTAGGCATTTGAATTTTAACAATGTTTTTCAGAGACTGACTAGAACTTTTGACTACTTTCTCATAACATCTTGCTCATAACAAGTTGAGTTCTACATAAATTAATGTCTTCACTTTCTTCCAGCCAATTGGGTAGTTGTATGACATAGGTACAAATAATTCATTTCTGCATGGGCAGCAGATACCAGTCTTCTTCAGATCCTTGCTATATTCAGCTTCAGATTTTAAAACCAAAACTTTGTTAAACACGAGGATACTGAAATTACAAATACCCCTCCTCTGAACAATATGAAACAGAATTAACAGTGCCTGGAACTGCAGGAGGCTTGCTTCTCATCCAAGTATACAGAAAGCTTCAAGCAGCTACAGGTTGCCTTTAACTGCAATTCTTTTGCAATCTGGTCAGTTGAGGACTGAGGTGATTAATGCTGATCAAGAACTTACTCAAATTGACTTTGTAGGTGGCTTTCTCCAAATTTTATCTCCTAATCCATTTCAAAGTTCCCCTTTAAAAACAAGTCAAATGTCAACTGGTTATTTTTACACAGGACTGTCTCTGGACCAAGGATAGTAAACCTTGTTGATATTAGATGAACAGGTCTGGAGAAACCCCATGCTTACTGTAAATTTCTTCCTCCTTCCCTTGAATAAGGCAGTAAGCTGAAAAAACTGTTCATTCTGATAGAGAAGTGACTTTAGGCTTAGCACTGTCCTAGGAAAGGTAAGGTAGGCAAGATTGTTTAATTGTACCTAATATGTCATGATTGACCACTTTCCATCTCATGGAAAGTTTTATGTATGCTACCTAAAAGGTGTGCTTAAAGAAAATTCGGGTTATCTAATCTTTATAAGAACAAACTTACTCTGTGCCTTTTCATAGATGAGTCATACATACTCACCCAACTTGCTTTCAGTGCAAAATGTATATGGACTACTATATGAATTCTCACACCTAAAACAGTATATGGGGCTTTGCTAGTATGAAGGCAATACAGTGGTACCTCAGTTTAAGAACAGGCCTGTTTACGAACGATTCGGTTTACGAACTCCGCAAAACCAGAAGCAGTGTCCCGGTTTGCGAACTTTACCTCGGACCAAGAGCGGAATCCGAACGGTGGAAGGACACCGGCAGCAGGAGGCCACATTAGGGAAAGCACACCTCAGTTTAAAAACTGTTTTGGTTTAAGAATGGACTTCCGGAACGGATTAAGTTTGTAAACCGAGGTACCACTGTACCAGCCTTTTCATCCAGCTATTATGGATTCTCTAATAAAAAAATTTTTATTATTTATACCCCGCCCATCTGGATTCTTAGTTGCTTTCATACTTTAGCGGAGCAGTATATGTCCTATGCAAAAGCCACCTTTTTCACCATATAGCCCTGGCTGTCTTATAACAGCCATTAGCAGATTCTCATTCTATCAAAGCTATATCCTGTGCAGTTACTAGCTAAGTTACTGAAGGTCACTTGAAGTGCCCACTGAAAATCAATTCCAGATTCAGGGTAATGTTTACTTATTTGTTGAAAATGCCTGCTTTTCTAATGATTTCAAAGAAATATTGCCAACAAATAGAGATTTAAGTATTAAGGCAGTTGGGAATTGCTGACTTTTTTGGCCTCTTTAATGAAAATGCATTAATTGCTTTTTCCTAAATGGGTATTATATCTATTAGCATCTCATTAATTTAAATAGGCAACTGGCTGAGCGTTCTTTTATTCTCATCGTTCTGCATACCAAGATTGCCAAATGCAACAATCTCATCCCAACAGTGCCATCTAAGAGGGTCATAATACAGCTTTAATGATTGAAACTTGAAAAATACTCATTAAAAATTAAATGCATGACTAGTTGACATCACTTTCCAGAATGAGACTATGAAGTATTTTAGATAATGATCTAAACTCCACAGCATACCATTCCGTGGGAAAGCAGGATAGGGCAAATTAGTCTAAAATATATATGCAATCATAAATGTAAACCAGGGACTGTTAAAGTATACGAGTTTATTTTAAACCTGCAGGGATTTTTAAACTTACAAAATCTGCATACAAAAGCCACTTTACCTCTGGACATTCAGTGTACTCCCCCTCTACTTTATGGTACCCCATGTTTGTTTAACCAATAAACTTTTCTGTTTGACTGAAACGGTGTAAAGTGAAACAACTGACTGGACACGGGGAGCATCATGCGAAGTTTGGTTTCATAGATTTGTAGAGCTCCAAGCTCTAGCCAACTGGGCTATCCAGGCACAAGTAATCGTAAGTTCAGCTAACGTGGTCCAGAAGCTGCTAGGATGAAGGCATCATTTACAGAGTTCAAAGTTTACTGCTTGCTCCATAAAAACCAACAAGATTTACTGTGTTTTCCAAACCCAGAAACAAGCTAGGCATGGCCATTTTGATTGAGAACTCTATGGAAACCATGAGCAGGCACAGAAAGACGGGGGGGGCCATATGGGCCACTTGGCTCAGGCCTCCGATTCCAAAGGGGGCCTCGGTCAGCATATTCACAATTATTTATATACTTACTTATTTATAAGACTTCAGTTATCCCCAGGGTAAAAAAAGGGGGGGGGCACATTACTACCTGGCCCGGGCCTCTGCCTGGCTCTGCAAGGCTCTGACCATGAGACACAATCTTATACTTAACAAGATCACCAAGCAAGCAAATATGGATTATCTTTTACTTCCATTTTATGTTGTCCAAATACCTACTCTGTCGTCACAATAATGTGCCTACTAAACAATACCAACATTTCCCAACCATTTTCTTCTTCTGTAAATTTCAAGATACTTGTTATGCATAATCTCTTGTATATATTCAAAAATAAAATTTGAATTCAAAAATTGTTTCTGTGTAAATATGCGTAAGATGCAGCCTTAGATAAAGGTAGTGGCGATTAAAGCTATTTCAGTGGGCTCGGTCTTAAGTGTCATAGTTTTAAGAGTGGGTTTATTTATACCAGTGGTGTCCAAACCTTTTTCAAAGAGGGCCAGATTTGATGAAGTGAAGAGGCCTGGGGGCCGACCAAAGTTATTGAGCGCTTTTTTTCCTTTTCTTTTTTTAGGATTGGAGTTGTTGGACTTCTTTTAGAATTGAAGCCACTGAGGGTTTTTTTAGGATTTTACCCCAGGAAATAAACTGCCACAGGGGCCGGATTAAACCAACCAGAGGGGCCAATTAGGCCCCCAAAACGGACTTTGGACATGCTTGATTTATACTATTATTAAACCAACAAAGTTTCCAGTTTAAAATTTTCTAATGTTAATAGTCATGCTTCTGAAAAAACAAGTATTTAACTGTGCTTCAGTAAAACTGGTTTTAATAAACCTAGGAGTACAATCCTAAATCTTTCAGTACAGACGACATGCTCTTCTGTTGCAAAAAAAAAACTTAATATGCTTATATACAAGTGACAGAATGTCTGCCTCTCTGTGTAGATAACAAGCAAAATCACTTGAAGAGTAATTGACTTTGTTTAAGTTACTACCTGAGCTCAACCTATATATATTTTGTTCAAAGCCACCCAGATTGCCTGGGGCAACCCAGTCAGATGAGTGGGGTATTAACAATACTAACAGTAATTTCTGAAAGTTTATTTTGCTGAAAGTGGCTTGATTCGCAGACTATTTGCCCAAGGTGTAGGGTAGGAATTTTAAATACATCAAATATTAAGTAGAAATTGCACACTGGTTCTTAACATACACTGCAACCCTTTATATCAGCATTTGATTGACAGTTCACAATTCAACTTGTTAACGTCCATATTTTCTTACCAACTAGTTTGGTGATCCAGACTAAACTAACTTGAATGGGAACTACAACTCAACTTACTGCCTTTAGAATCTTCAATGTCTCAAGTATTAATTGACAACATGCTTTCTAGATAGAGAAGCAAACACTGAATAGCTGTGCAAGCATTTTTCTTCAAGTGGCTTTAATTATCTTACTCAACCATAGTCACTTTGTTCAACTACTCCTACCTACAAATCACTCTAATATCTGCACCCCATCGTCTATACCTTGAAGTATAACGGCCAACTGGGTTTATAAAAAAGAAAAAGACACAAAGCCCATAACCATGCCATTTATATTAAATCTTTTTTTATTTTTGTATCTGATTTTAGACAGACTCTTGCACAGGGGGCTCATACCCATCAGCTCGCTCTACCTTGGCACCAGTTTCATCACCTGATGGCTTTCCAGCACCACCACCTTCACCATGCAGCTCCATCAGCTTGCCCACTGCAAATAATAATGCAACAGTTTGAATTAACACAGAGACAATTTTATGCTAAGATTCTACATTTAAAGTTAACAAAGTGCTTCTAAAGAATGAAGCCATGTTTAAAATTAAATTGATTGGCTCAATACGCTTTTTGAAAACAATCAAGACTTAACCTTTTATGATTTATGGGAATGTCAGAATTTGAAAATAGTAATCATTGTTTCATCTGGGACCGAAACAAATTGTCATCATTCATTCCCAACCAATGAATATAGCAAAAAATATTCTTTAGATAAGATACCAAAATGCTTACATTCAAACTTGGGCTTCTTAAGCATCTTGACTTTACGAACATAGACATCATGAAGGGGATAGATGGACTGACACGCTTTTTCTATGTCTTTCCCAATGCTGTCTGGGATGCTAGAATGACAGGAAATAAAGTTTGACTTATTAGGTTCAAATTAAGAATCACACTATTGAAAACCCCCCAAAAGTAGTACCATTACATATCCCAGAAAGCAGCCATTATTGCTGGAGCCTGAATGGAGATGACAGTTCTCCTCCGCTGACTCTGCACCACAATGATAAAAAAAGGATTGCAACTGAACCTGTGACTCCACATTTGAGCCAAAAACTTAACTGCCTCTGATTATGGAGGCAGTGCATAGCCATCCTGATTGGCACATTAGCAGAATTATGCTCCATGAATTTGTCAGAAAGATCTCAAGGAGCAAAGTCACACTGTAACATACCTCCACAACGGTAAATCTACTAAGGAATTTTATGGTGCCTGTCTCACTGAAACCCCATCACAAACACATGAGATTGCTACACGTGACTAGCAAACAATTCAAAAAAATTCAATATATTTGCCTAAAATTTGGAAAATTTTGGATAAAATTTGATAAATTATTTGGATAAAACAAGTATTAAGATACAACAAATGAGTACTAAGAATATTGTTTTCGTAATACAGAGGAGCTGACAGAACAACTCTCCCACCATAAACTGAAGCTGACAGGACTGTGCTGTATGGAAATGGGTGTTAACGGTTGGCCTGGAACAGCTAAAATCTGCTGGAATATTTATATACACTGCTATGAAAATTAAAGCTAGATGGAATAAAAACTGCCTTCCTAAACATGGGACACAAATTTTAACCTACAGTTTATTGACAACTTCTTTCAGGTCATTTGTCTGCACTTCTCGTGTCATGATTTCCACCATCTTCTTGCGGATTTGGCGGACTTGCTGGTGTTGGGCATAGGAAGTCTTGCGAATCTGGTTAGTTCGCTTCTTGGTGAAGCCAACACAGAAAAGGCGCAGAAGATATCCATCTGTAGTTTTTACATCCACATGGGCCTCAATCATTGTCTGGAAAAAATTAACAGTTGTTCAATATACCCAAATAATGTACTTGAGTAAAAGTTTCTACTATAAATTTTGGACCAAGCAAAAAGATCAGGTGTTCAATGCTCAGTGCAACAAAGGAAGGATTACATCAACACAGTCATCCAAGCAGCCACATCTACAAATCAAGGCCCCCATACCCAGTTACCGCGTTAGAAACGGAATGCCTGGTTTTCCTTTTTGATCCAGACAGCTCAAAAGTCACATTTTTCAAGACAACTTTGGTTCTTGAAATTGAAATTCATTCTGATTGTGCAGATAAAATATAACTACAGGGTGTAATGCTAGTGTGTGAAAAGTCAAGTTCCATGGATCCCCAGGCATGCACCTCCAGATGGTGGAAACATCAGGCGCCAACCTGGCGCCTGGGCACCTTCACTTGGTTGCAAGAGGCCAATAGCCAGGTGCAAGATGTGCCTGGTAAATTTCGAGTGTTACCCAGTTAGCTAGCAATCTTTCATGATTATAAAATTCCAAATATGAATTTGGCATTGTGGGTATGCTGTGAAACCTTTATTCACTATCCAGTTGGACTTTTTTAAACAAATCTGCTTTTATAGTTCCAACAAAAAACCAATTTTCTCCCCTTGAGAAAGGGGAGTGTGGGGAGAATATTCAAGGTGAGAGCATAGAACTGGATCCAGCAATGGGGCAAGTTGATCCTGTGATGCTAAGAGAGGATTATCCAGTACCTAAGATTTCCACCACCCTGCAACAGCAATGAAGTGCAGCATTTACAGATTAGCACAATTACATGCAAATATTACTAACCTGCCATTTTTTGACCATCGAACACATTTTGTCACGTGTGAGATCCATTCCATGAAAGTTTGTCAGACAGTTTTTCCCTTGCACATCTTCTGTAATCAGTTTGAATTTACGGAAGGCAACTTCGTCATTCTGCAGGTCAGCAAGACTTACTTCAAATACTCGACCCTTAAGTCCATCTGAGGCAATTTCTAAAAACACAAAATAATGTTAATGCGTCTTTCATGCAGACTCATAATAAACTGTTAATAGCTAGAAACGAAAGTGTATTGCCAATTTATTTCCTCCAGGGAATATGCACAGGAGTGCAAGCTTTCCAAACAAACTGCCCTATAGACACTTTCAAGCAGTTTTGAATTCTTTTGCTTTGCATTTCACAAAACTCCCAAGGCAGATAAGAATTCAACATCTCTGCAGTTAAAATTAGAAGGTTTGAGGCCTTGCTTTTAGAGTTGAAACATGGCACATACAACAATTAGTTTATAAATAAGTACAGTGGTGCCTCGCAAGACGAAATTAATTCGTTCCGCAAGTTTTTTCTTCTTGCGAGTTTTTCGTCTTGCGATGCACGGTTTCCCATAGGAATGCATTGAAAATCAATCAACGCGTCCCCAGGGAACCCGCCACCACACCAGGCCCGGGGACAGTCTGGCCCCCGACCTCTTCGGAAGGCAGGGGGGGGCGACAAGGGCTTTTCTTCCACCCCCAGCATTTTAAAACCCCGGGACAGCGGAGGGCTTCTCCGCTGTCCGGGGCGATCTTAAAATGCTGGCGGGCGGCATTTAAAATTGCCCCAGGACAGCGGAGGACTTCTCCGCTGTCCGGGGCAATTCAAAGCCCCTGGGAAGGCAGGCAGGGGGGACAAGACTTTGCCCCCGCCAGCCTTCAGAAGAGGTCCTGGACCTCTTCTGAAGGTTGGCGGGCGAAAGTCTTTGTCCCCCCACCTGCCTTCAACAGCTGTCCAGCCAAGGCTTCGCGGACCTCTCCGCAAGCAGCGGCAGCACTGCCGCTGCTTGCGGAGAGTTGCCGGCCTGCCGAAGCCTGCGCGCGGGGCGACCTGCGCGCCCTGGCTTCGCGGCCCTCCCCGCGCGCCGCGGCAGCGCTGCCGCTGCTTGCGGAGAGTTGCCGGCATGCCGAGCCTGCGCGCGCTGAGATCAGCGCGCCCAGGCTTCGCGGACCTCTCCGCGAGCAGCGGCAGCGCTGCCGCTGCTTGCGGAGAGCTGCCGGCATGCCGAAGCCTGCGCGCGCTGAGATCAGCGCGCCCAGGCTTCGCGGACCTCTCCGCGAGCAGCGGCAGCGCTGCCGCTGCTCGCGGAGAGTTGCCGGCATGCCGAAGCCTGCGCGCGCTGAGATCAGCGCGCCCAGGCCTCGCGGACCTCTCCGCGAGCAGCGGCAGCGCTGCCGCTGCTCGCGGAGAGTTGCCGGCATGCCGAAGCCTGCGCGCGCTGAGATCAGCGCGCCCAGGCTTCGCGGACCTCTCCGCGAGCAGCGGCAGCGCTGCCGCTGCTCGCGGAGAGGTGCCGGCATGCCGAAGCCTGCGCGCGCTGAGAGCAGCGCGCCCAGGCTCAGCGGACCTCTCCGCGAGCAGCGGCAGCGCTGCCGCTGCTCGCGGAGAGTTGCCGGCATGCCGAAGCCTGCGCGCGCTGAGATCAGCGCGCCCAGGCTTCGCGGACCTCTCCGCGAGCAGCGGCAGCGCTGCCGCTGCTCGCGGAGAGTTGCCGGCATGCCGAAGCCTGCGCGCGCTGAGATCAGCGCGCCCAGGCTCCGCGGACCTCTCCGCGAGCAGCGGCAGCGCTGCCGCTGCTCGCGGAGAGTTGCCGGCATGCCGAAGCCTGCGCGCGCTGAGATCAGCGCGCCCAGGCTCGCGGACCTCTCCGCGAGCAGCGGCAGCGCTGCCGCTGCTGGCGGAGAGCTGCCGGCATGCCGAAGCCTGCGCGCGCTGAGATCAGCGCGCCCAGGCTTCGCGGACCCTCTCCGCGAGCAGCGGCAGCGCTGCCGCTGCTCGCGGAGAGTTGCCGGCATGCCGAAGCCTGCGCGCGCTGAGATCAGCGCGCCCAGGCTTCGCGGACCTCTCCGCGAGCAGCGGCAGCGCTGCCGCTGCTCGCGGAGAGTTGCCGGCATGCCGGAGCCTGCGCGCGCTGAGATCAGCGCGCCCAGGCTCGCGGACCGGAGATTTCCCTATGGGCTTTCGTCTTGCGAAGCAAGCCCATAGGGAAATTCGTTTTGCGAAGCGCCTCCAAAACGGAAAACCCTTTCGTCTAGCGGGTTTTTCGTCTTGCGAGGCGTTCGTCTTGCGGGGCACCACTGTAGTAGCACCTATCAACTCAGCATATTTTTACCTAGCAAGCCTTAGAATAAATCTTTTTTCAAAATTATGTAGCAGTTTTCTATCTAGGTAACTTACTTGTTCCCTGAGTCCTGGTGACCAATGTCTTCCCAATGTTTCGAATATTGAACATTGCTGGGGCCTTGACATCATACCAGTCCTTCTTTGAAAAGGGATCAACCCTGATTTCCAGGAAAAGAGAAAAGCTTTGTCAGACCTGCAACTTCCTATAATTCCAGAAACATTTGGAATACAGGAAGATAGATGTCTTATACAGAATAAAGTTTTCTGGGTCCATCTAGCATTATCTATACTCGGCAACAGATCTCCAGGGTTTCAGGGAAGTCTTCACCTTCTGCATGTGACTCCCGATATCCCAGCAAAACACCAAAGTTAATATTTTATGCAGTTTTCACCCATCTACGCTGCCTGAACTGGGCCTGCAAGCAAGTCCTGATGCCAAAAACTCTGCTTTTCATCCTTCTAAGTTATATCAAGAAAGGCGTAAACGGTGCTGAATTTACAGCACAGTCCTATCCGTGTCTACCCAAAAGCAAGCTCAATTAAAGGAAAAGTCAGGTGAGGCTAGCAGCGTTAGTCAACTGCCACTTTACATCCCTGAACTACACTACCTGAGCTTTGGAGCCACCAGGCAAGATGATGGCCAGAACGTGATAGATGCCCCAAGATGCTTCTTTGAAACTCCCCATTTTATTTCAAAGCTCTGCTTATAGCAGGGTGCACGCTTAACTGGGCCCGACAATTACTAGGAGGGAAAGGCCGGACGGGGCCCCCAACTCAGGCCCCCCAAATCGGGGCTCCAGGCACGAGATCTGCAGCCCTACCCCTCCCCGCCTCTGGGGAACTCGCACGTGCCCGTTCTAGAACGATTCCCGCGCGCTCCCCTGCCCGCCCGCTTCCCTTAGAGAGCCGCCATGTCAGCAGCGCTTTCCCTACACCCACCAACCACTCTCCTCAATCCGACCAACATCGGAGGCATCCGACGTTTGCGGGCCGCGGCTCCCCCTCGACCGCGCTCCGGCTACCCCGAAGCTTCTGCCCCGGCCTGACTTACACTTTCTTCTTGGCGCCTTTCTTGCCTCCTTTGGTGAGGCGCTTGTTCTTGCCAACCGCCATAGTGCCGCGCCGGGAGAAAAAGAGGCCGGAAACTCGACGCCCCGCGAGATTATAGGAGAACCGGGCTCGCGCGAGATCATATGCCGCTTTCCGCGCGTATCGCGAGAAACGGAGAGTCTCGGAGGAGCCAGCATGCGACGGGAAGTCACAGCGGCCTCTGGCGGTAGGTTGTCTGTTTTGCACTCACAGGCGAGTTAAGGAAGTACGTCCTGGACGCCTTTCCCTTGTTGAATCAGCAATGTCTTTGCCACGTGGTACAGACTGAAAATCATCAAGGATTTATCCCTGGTAAATGCACGCGACACCCATGAAAAAAAGCCGTATCTCTTCCGCGAAGTTGCTTTTTCGCAGAACTCCTTTCCAGCAAAAACCAGGAGATTCTTATAAAAAAATACAGCCCACCACGGGAAGTTCGGTAGTACAGTCAGCGGTTTTTATGGCACACTGCTACTTTCGATTATTCTCACAAGGTATTTTATTGTTGGTTTTAACTACAAAGCAAAATGCATAAAACTTGGCTATAACAAAGGGAAAGGGGCATGTACGTTAATATTCACATTTGTTCAAAGCTGAATATTTGTTTTTGAGTTGCACAGAGTGGAGGTTAAAGTATGGTAAGAGCGGCTGGACATTAGCATGAAGTAGGGAAGGCTGAACATTGTCAGCCAAGCCTCGATAGTGAAGGTTATTACAGTAGTCGTTAGAATCTGAGCTCCTCAGAAGCCCTCTTGAAGAATTATATTGAGGGTTTACATGCAGGAGGAAGCAGGGAAGATGAATACAGTGGTACCTCGGGTTACATATGCTTCAGGTTACACACTCCGCTAACCCAGAAATAGTGCTTCAGGTTAAGAACTTTGCTTCAGGATAAGAACAGAAATCGTGTTCCGGCGGCAGCATGAGGCCCCATTAGCTAAAGTGGTGCTTCAGGTTAAGAACAGACCTCCAGAACGAATTAAGTACTTAACCCGAGGTACCATTGTACAGTATGCTTGCTGCTCCACTAGTTGGTGGGCTGCTGTCTGAAGTGGGAATGCTGCTTGCACTGACTCGGTGGATGATGCAGAATCCTGATTTCCAGGGTTCTATCAGAAGGTCGGCGGTTCGAATCCCCACGATGGGGTGAGCTCCCGTTGCTCGGTCCCTGCTCCTGCCAACCTAGCAGTTCGAAAACATGTCAAAGTGCAAGTAGATACATTGGTACCGCTCCAGCGGGAAGGTAAATGGCGTTTCTATGCACTGCTCTGGTTCGCCAGAAGTGGCTTAGTCATGCTGGCCACATGACCCGGAAGCTGTACGCCGGCTCCCTCGGCCAATAAAGCGAGATGAGCGTCGCAACCCCAGAGTCGGCCACGACTGGACCTAATGGTCAGGAGTGCCTGTACCCTTTACCTTTACTATAACATGAAAAGCGAGTACAGAAAGTTCCCCGCTTCACATGCTTTGTGGAGGGTGACAAGAAGCTTGCAAACCTACAAAAATTTAACTAAAAAACATCAAGAGAAATGTCACTTAAGGGAACTACATAATTTCCTCTAACTTTTTTTCCTAACGAGATAATAGGTCTTCTTAATTTCATTACTATTATTTGTTAAATTTGTATGCTGCCCTTCAGCTTGCCAAAGACCCCAGAAAAGTTCACAACAGTAAAATACAAAATGAGTATACAAAATACATAATCAAACAAAAACAAACCAATAGTGTTGGTTTTGGGTTTTTTTAAAAAATAGATTGTTGATCAGCCAGACAACATTCTCTGATTGAAGAGAAACCTGGTGCCTAAAAATATGTAATGAAGGTGCCAGGCAAGCCTCCCTGGGAAGAACATTCCACAAATAGAGAGCCTCCACAGAAAAGGCCTGTTCTCATGTTGCCATCTTCCAAACCCCTTGTAGAGGAAACAAACAAAGAAGGGCCTCAAATGATGACTGCAGGGCCCAGGTCAATTCATATGGGGAGAGGTTTGTCCTTGAGGTATTGCAGTTGTGAGTAGTTTAACCAGCACTTTGAGCTGGGCCCAGACTAATTGGCAACTGGTGCAATCAGTTCAGGATCAGTATAATATGCTAAAACGGTATTTCCCTGTTCAGCAACCTTAGCACCAAATTCTGCATCAGCTGAAGTTTCCGAAACATCTTCAGACCTGCAGATGTAAAAGAGAAGTAGAGCTGTGTGTCGTGGGCATATTGCTGACAGCATACTCCAAAACTCTAGATAACCCCATTCAGCTGTTTTATGTAGATGTTAAACAGCATAGAGGATAAAATTGAACCCTGAAGAACTCCACATTGATGGTTCCACAGGGCCAAAGAGTACTCCCCAAGCATTACTCTCTGGAAACAGCCCTCTAAGTAAGAGTTGAACCACTGAAAAGTGGGGCCGCCCATCCCTAACTCAGATAGCTGCTCCAGAAGGATACCATGGCTGATGGTATTGAAACCCGTTGCGGACAATTAACAGGGACACATTTCCCCTGTCTCTCTCCCAGCAGAGGTCATCATACAGGATGACCAAAACAGTTTCTGTGCCAAAAACTGGCCTAAACCCTGATGGAAATGGATTTAGGAAATCAATTTCCTCCAAAAGTGCCTGGGTCTGGTCTGTGACCACCCAAAAAACCTTGTCCAAGAAGAGGAGACTGTAGTTGCTTAGATTTTCTGAATCCAGGGACCCTTAACAGCCAAACCATAAACCCAGCACTTCCACTGTAATACTACTAGTTACAGCAGTACTGAAGAATCTGGATTCTTTTCTCTTTCAGCAATAGACTATGCTGGTGCAGCTTCCTCTTTTTTAAAAAGGGACAATGTGTATGTTACAAATAGGATCAATGGACTACATTTAACAATGTGACCATAGGAAGAGCAATTGAATGCACAGAACAGTTCAGTTGTCATTGCCCACATACTTTGAGATGTGAAGGCCTGGAAAAACCCAGAAACATTTAGAAGAAAACCATTTTTCTCGCTTTTATTTGTTTTCCTGGCAAAGAAATTGGTTGTTTGGGGTAAAATAAAAACCACTCTTGTGCAATGTTTTCCCTTTCAAAAAGTTGGTTGAGATATTTCCTTAGGTAGCACTTCAAACACTGATGCAAATTCCTACATCCAAGATTCAAAAGGTAATAACCCCTATTCACTCGCTGGATCATCACCTCGCCGTGGTGAGTGGGCCTGCACGTTCCTCTGATCTTTGTGAGCGAAGCCATCGGGAATCTCATACTCCCAGTAGGGTCACACAAGGTGGTAAAATCTGGAGGAGGAGGAGGAGGAGGAGGAGGAGGAGGAGAGGGATTACAACAGCAGGCCCATTTCAATCCAAGCATTAATTCCATGGAGTTTACAGTTGTAAAGCTGTGTCCCTTTTATTTTGTTTTTACATACCCATATCCCACTGAAAAGCACATAAATTGTTTTCATACCACATTAGGAATAGTGTTATACAACTCAAAAACATTTTTCAGATTTGTATGAGTTATAGAATCAAAGAACTGTAGAGTTGGAAGGGACCACAGGGCTCATCTAGTCTAACCACCTGCAATGCAAGAATCTCAACTAGATCATACATGACAGATGACCATCCAACCTCTGCTTGAAAACCTCCAATGAAGGGGAGTCTACAGTCTCCCAAGGGAGTCTGTTCTACTATCAAACACCTCTTACTTTCAGAAAGTTCTGTTCAGTCAGAATCTCCTTTCCTGTAACTTGAATCCATTAGTTCGGGTCCTGTCCTCTGGAGCAGGAAAAAAACAAACTTGCTCCATCTTCCATGTGACAGCCCTTTGAAGATGGCTATCATATCTCCTCTCAGTTTCCTTTTTACCAGGCTAAACATAACCAACGCCCTCAGCTGTTCTTCATAAGGATTGATTTCCAGACGTTTTATCATCTTGGTGACTATCCTCTGCACACGTTCCAGCTTGTCAATATCCTTAAATTGTGGCGCCCAGAACTGGACACAGTCCAGAGGACTTAGTTGACTGGGCAACCCAAAAGTGTTCTAAACAAATAAATGAATGGGGGGAAAACATGTCTGCAGCTTCCCTTCTATCCTAGCCATGTATTTGATTCCACTTGAGGCTTTTACCTTGCATTTCAAGGCATGGATTCAGATCATTAAAACGTGGTGGTGGTTCTGCTTGTTGAAAGACCACTTGAAGCAGGTTGTGCAGCCATGCAGGCTAGCCTAGTCCCATGCCCCTAGGTTGCCCAGAAAGGGCTTTATAAATGTGGTAATGTATGGGGGGGTCCTAGCCTACTCTGGATGCCCTTTGTATGGCGATGCTCTTAGCCATCAGTGAGAAACATATGGCCCTCCTAATCCCTGGGCATTGGTCATAGTTGCTGGGGCTGATGGGAGTTGTAGTTCAGTAACATCTAGAGCAGGCTTCCTCAACCTTGGCCCTCCAGATGTTTTTGGCCTACAACTCCCATGATCCCTAGCTAGCGGGACCAGTGGTCAGGGATGATGGGAATTGTAGTCTCAAAACATCTGGAGGGCCGAGGTTGAGGAAGCCTGGTCTAGAGAGCCAAAGGTTCTCCAGCCCTGTTCTTCAAGCAATACAAATTTACTTGTATAAGAACATGAAAGCAAATATTTTCAGGGTTTTCAACATTGTTTCTAAGCGCCTAGAAAATTTACATAAGCATACCTATCCAAAACCATTTCCATTGCTCACATTCTACATATCTGGCATACAGTTGCATTAAAATTGCAAGTTAAGTAACTTGGAAGGAAGGTGTCATTTTGGATCTCTTATGGACACCCAGCATTTAGTCCAAGCGCTTCAAATTATGTAACTTGAAGAGAAGGGAGAAATGGCCTGAGTTGCTGATCTGATAAGATTTTATCACTCGAGGAACCAGAATTTCCAGTAGGACTGGGGAGAAAACCTGGCTAGTAAAAATTCAGAAGTAGTAGCACTTTCAGTAGTGTTAGACATTATGGCTCATAAGAATGGAATTTGGTTGATTTCAAAGAAACAGATTCCTTGCTGCCTTTGATCCCCATAATTCTTCACAAGAATGCTTCTTGTTTTATAATGTGTGGTTCAAGTTTTAAATGTTGGTGAGCTGTACTTAAAGGAGTTTCCTGAAATTAATGGTCTGTTTTAGGACGAGAAAGACCTACTGTATAACCCATGATACATGCGAGTTTTAAGCTTACATTCCAATGTAAACTTGTTCAAGTGAAACATCCACAGAAAACAACATACTGCAACACTGGTGGGTCAAAGCAAATGTTAGTCTCAGCAATGCAATCAGAACTCAGCCTCTTACCAGTCCCATCCCACCCCCAGCACCATTTGGGACCCCAACAGTGGCACTGTGCTACTGTAATTGCAATACACATATATATATATATATACATATACATATATATGTATATGTGTATATATATATATATATATATATATATATATATATATAAAATATGTCAGTATTATATAGAAAAATACTTCTTAAATAGGGGGTCTTCTGAATTTTCAAATGACAAAACCAAATTCACATATTCTTTCGTCATTCTTATCTTTAGAACAAAAGAACAGTTCAATAGAGTGAAGGATAGACATTCTTTTTCCAAAATGGATTGGCTGCATTCAGTCATAACAGACATTTTTATTCCTGGGTGGGATCTAAGCATATGCACCTGGACTGGGTGTCAGCACTGTAGGCATTAAAAAAAACAAAAAACTCTGACTTTAAAAAAATGGATGATTCACAGCTATGAAACATCATAGCTGTTTGCTCAGCTTCTAACAAACAATATATGCTGCTTTTTCCCACACATTTCTTGAAAAAGAGCTAGATGCTGTGCTGTGTACATCTTAAAGGCTTAACTGACTGATTTTGGTGGATTAGTTCAGAGTGTGTTCTTATGTAAAAGCATTTGTCTTTGCAATGCTAAACAGTGCAAGTATTTTATATACCTCCAAAGCTTTGTAATCATGTAGCACTCAGTGCTTGAGTCTCTGCATGTATACTACTCAGAAATGTAGTGTCCAGGTCAAGGAAAGTCAGCACTCATTTTTGCCTTGGTCAAACCACACCTGGAGTACTCTTTCTGGTTCTGGGCATCACAATCTAAAAAGAATATTGACAAGTTGCAACGTGTGCAGAGGAGGATGAGCAAAATGATCAAGGATCTGCAAACTAAGCCTAATGAGGAACAGTTGAGGGAGTTGGGCATGTTTAGCCTGGGAAAGAGGAAACTTGAGATGAGCTATGATAGCCATCTTCAAATATTTAAAGGGCTGTCACATGGACGATGGAGCAAGCTTGTTTTCTCCTGCTCCAAAGAGTAGGACTTGAACTAATGGATTCAAGTTATAAGACAGGAAGAACCTTCTGATCCTAAGAGCTGCTTGACAGTGGAAGAGACTCCCTTGGGATGTGACGGACTCTCATTCTTTTGAGGTTTTTAAGTAGAAGTTGGGCAGCCAGAAAAGACAGCAAGATCAAGGAAATAGAAGAGAAAGAAACAGAAAGGTTAGAATGCTATGAGTTACATGTTGCCAGGCAAAAAGAAGCAGTGGGTTCCCCAAGTTTCACAACGACCCAGGAGTCTGGGGCTACAGCTGCATAGCAGGGATCTTGAAATGGCTGCGCATGGACACAAGACATACCCTACCCTTCAAAGTTTGCAGACTGTGCTTCACCCAGGAAACTCTGCGTGGTGGAGAACCCACTACAGGTGGTTTAAGGATGGAAAAGTTGTCACATGGGAGTACACAAGACTTCATGTCCCCTTAAGGACCTCAACTAACTTGGAGAGAAGAGGCAAGGGAAGAGAGTAGAGGAGCTACTAGGGGTTGAAATTTTTCTGGTAAAGGGAAGTTCTCTTTCTGCAGTTCTCTTACTGCACATGACTGTGGCATTGTGGGAAGTCTTGCTATTAGAACTATTGCTTCTTTTCTCTTGCATTCTGGGAAGTCTCGCTCATAATCTTTTCTCTGCTTCTGCACATGAGTCTGAGAATGTTCTGAACAGTTCCCATTGAGTTCATGAAACAGTGTATCCTGACCTGTTCTTAATGCATTGCTGACCACATCTACGGAACGTGATTGTTGTATTCTTTCATGTTATGTTCTCTCAATATTAATCTTTAGTTATAATTTAATTAGGAGGTTTCATGCCTGTCTAGTTCCAGCTCCGATTCTCAGCCTTTGAACTATCAGTGATAAATGGTTATATGTAATTCCCGCCTTGTACCTATGTTAACCAATCAACAACAAGTTGCTTTGTGTTTGTATCAACCAATCAGCCACAAGCACACCTGTGGCAATGTTTGTAATATTCAATAAAAGAGAGTTCCCGGGGCTTGCCCTGGCAGACGCCTCTCATATGACACCTGCCACTCGTCTGTCGTGATTTACAACCCAACATTCTGGAGCCTCCTATTGAGACTGGGCAGTGATGGGGCCCTTGGGGACAAAAACCTAAAGCCCCAGTTTAATGAGAAGTGTGTGTGTGGAGGGGGTCCCTGAGACAAAACATGAACATGATTGAGACTGAGGCTAAGGAGGGAGAGGATTCAAAAACAAAAGGTTGCCAAGTAACTGGAGACCTGTTACCTTCAAATTTTTTTGCAAGTGGATGGAAGCATAGTTGAGCCAATCCAGACAGGTATAAGTCAACAGAGACTGTACTTGACCTTACATGTCAGGTGTTAAAGAGTGGTGCACCAATAGATATCCATGTGAAAAACAAGGGTTGAGGTCTGTGGCTGATTTAACCAGAAGGGGCAGTGTTCATCAGGAAAATATATTTGTTCTCTTCAGGGGTGATTACGGTAATTGCCAAATAGAGGTTCGTGCCAAGTAGACCAGATGCAGAGTTGGGTATTTACATGCGTCTAGAGCCCTTGCTCCCCTTTTAGGGTTTGCCAGTCTTTCTGGGCCACTGAGCAGATTTGTAATATGCTTCTGAACTCACTCCCGTTGGAGGCACTGATCACTGATGGCTTTCCATCACCTAATTAACAATACATCTGTTCTCGCAGGATTTCATGGGTTTTTGTTTAAGCTTGGTTTTAGGATTTCCTGCACTGTAATTACTGTTGCTGTTAATTTTTGATTATTTTAATTGTGCTCCTGGTTTTAAATGCTGTGTGATTTCAATATCTTGGGAACCACTTTGTGACAAGTGTCACGAAACGTGGTCTAAAGAATATTACTAAATAAATCAATAAAATGGGCACGTTATTTAAAAATACATTCGGAGGAAAACAATCCATTTTAAAAGATATGAAATAAATAAACTACAAATGCAGTCAAACTAGTGACACCACCCCCTTGCTTTTGTTTCTGGAGCAGACATTGCATGCAGAGCATTAACTGTGTTTGGATTTGTTTGCAGTTCAATATCTTACGTGCTCATGCTTTTATCCATTTTTTTGGAAAAATGTATTTGAAAGGGTGCTCCACTGGGTACGGGTGGGGTGCTGCCTCCTCGTTAGTTCTAAAGTAATTGCCTCTTGGCACGCCAATGAAATGTATGTGGGTATTGCAGCTGGTGTAGATCAGACCATCTTTCAGAAATTCCAGTTCAGTGTCCTGTATGTTTATGCATTCCTTCAAGAGGTTTTAAAACATTGGGTAAACAATGCATAGCAATGTATTCATTTTCCTTTTGGCTATTGAACTGAGAATTTATCATTTTATTTACCGCACCACTTTTATCAGCTCTGAACCAAGAGAGTTTTTTGCTTTATTTTATTTTTGTACATGGTGTACTGACATTCTGGGTGCAGATTTCCCCAAAGGCAGAATAGCATCTCTTTTTTTAAGGACTCACTACTTGCTCTTGCTAATGTTATTATGCTTGAATTTGTTCTTTAAAACAGCCCAACTGTAAAAAGTGACACTATGAAAATGTCACACGGTGTGATATAGCACATTAGCAGCTGATTGGTTTGTTGTAAAGTGAACTTTTGTAAACCACACTGAAGTCATTATACTCAACCCAAAGTACAGTGGTACCTCGGGTTAAGTACTTAATTCGTTCTGGAGCTCCGTTCTTAACCTGAAACTGTTCTTAACCTGAAGCACCACTTTAGCTAATGGGGCCTCCTGCTGCTGCCGCATCGCCGGAGCACGATTTCTGTTCTCAACCTGAAGCAAAGTTCTTAACCCGAGGTACTGTTTCTGGGTTAGCGGTGTCTGTAACCTGAAGCGTATGTAACCTGAAACGAGTGGTAAACCGAGGTACCACTGTAAACCTCTTCACCTCCAAAGCTGCAGTCCTATGCTCAGAGTGGCCATAGTGGTTTAAACCTGAAAAACACTACAGAATAGGTAAACTCTTTCCTTTATTCCAACTGACACATTTCCATAATCACTAATTCCATATAAAAGATTAAGTTTATGGTGGGCAAACATAGGTCTTTATCAAAGTTTCCCGTCACCAATCACTAGTGGTTTTTCAGCTCAGCAAGAAAGACTGAATTTTATAAAGGTTGACTTTAATCTTGTCATTGTTCATGTGAAAGTTCACTTGCATAACTATGCTGGATATGACTGAGTTCAAAATTATTCTTGCTGCAGTGCATTACCGTATCGGCTTTGGAACAAAAATCCATCCTGGCAGTTTGTTAACACCTTCTTCTGCCTCTGCTGCTGCCTTTAATGATCAAAGTTTGTAAGGAACCATTTATTTAGCTCCAAGAAATCAGCAGCAGATGATGCAATGAAAGCTGGCACTGCTGTCTGAAAAGGTAAACCGTATTAGATAGCTACTGAACTGTGAAGCTTAGAGGACTAGAGCACACTCAAAGCACCTGAACCACAATAAAATCCTTTTTTGTAAGACATTTTTATAGTTCCAGGTTTTAAAAACTTTTGAACAGTAATGATGGTGAGGTTTCATAGAAGCTCCACCACATGTTGGAAGCACGTGCTAGGGGGTCGTGTGGCTAACCTGTCTTCTGCCCTGCTACACATGCTGTCCACAGAGCTTACCATTAGCTGCACATCTAGCAGCCATGAGAAGCAGCCCTACACATATTGGGTCCTCTGTATGAGGGTTAATGCTGATTGACCCAGGATTCCCTGTTGCACACATAGGCTTGCATCACATAGGGTGCATCACACAGGGGGGAAACGCTATAAATAAGTCAGAAATTGGATCATTATAACGAAAGAAAGAAATCCCTATGGAAAACAGCGTTTTAAAATTTCCTGCTCTCTGCCGCCATCTAGGTGTTGCATGTTTATAGCGCATTCAGATTGCTGTTTCCTTACTAATGTAGCTGAGTCCATAGTTGTCTAATGCAGGGGTTGTCAACCTGGTTGTCAACCTGGTGGGCGTTTCAGGATTCTAGGCAGGGGGTTCTATGCCACAAGCTGAATCCTCTTTCCATCAAGCACTGGTGGGCGGTAAGGAAATTTTGCCATCGAGAAACATCAAGAAAGATGCATTAGTGGGCGGCAGGTATAAAAAGGTTGACTACCCCTGGACTAATGTGTGGCTGGCGGGGAGAAGATGACCCTGCTGCAGTCGCCTCACTTCAGTGCGCCAAGAGACTTCTGTGAACCCCATTAAGAGATTATTCCAACACACACACACACACACACACACAAATATATTTATGATGGCTACTTGGTCCCTGAAATTTGCAACACACTCAGCCCAACACATTACTGGAAAAGTTTGGAAAAAGTTATGTCTCTAGCCCTTAATTTCCGACATGCAGTTTGCAATGAAAGTGCAACCAGGCCAAACAAGACGAGCCCCACCTCCAGTGCAATGCTTGAGGGCAAGAGAGTGTACTAATGTAAATGCTCCACGCAAGGTCCTGCTCCATCCAGAGGCTCTTTACATGTGCACATTGGTACATGCATAGAGCCCCTGAGGTCCGTCTCACACATTCCTTGAATGCTGCTGCTGCTGGTAATCTGGACTCCCCTATTGTAAATTGGCTGGAAAGGCATATGAATTTGCTGATGAAGGAACAGAAGACAGCTGAAAGAGACTGGCTGTGTCCCAAATCCCTAAAATGAACCAAATGGAAACAAAGTTGTAAGAGAAAATATCAAACATTTAAAACATATAAATAGAAACATAAATCCGAGTGACCTTCCAATATTGAAATGTCAAGTGCACAAACCAGAGGGAAATCATATCAATTCCGTAGCTCTCGAAAAACTAAAAATAGATAGAAATTATGTTGTGCTTGAAGTTAGACATCTGTATAATTTAGCTTACTAATACTGCTATTTGAGAGAAAATGAGTGAAATGTTTAGATTCATATTTGTTTACCAGATACATATTCCTGAAATCAAATTCTAATTGGAGAATATTTATGAAAGTATGTAAAGTACACATAGTTCTTCATAGTATTGCTGTGAGGTTTTTTTGTTTGTTTTTTTGTGAGGTTTAGCTGTATGCCCGAGTCCCTTCTAATTCCTCGAGCCAGCAAGGGTTAAAATCCAATAGAGGATTTCATTGCTTGAATAGCCAGGCCAGCTTCTTGGGAATGGCTCCCTAAGTATGGGTCATTAAAGTAACAAAGGTAGCGTGTCCGTGCTAGGGGGAAAATGGGTCTCCCAACTGTCTGGTAGTTAGAAGGCCAGCAGACAGAGTTCAGGTGTGTGAGCTAGAAGCTAGAACCAAAGAAGCAGGATAGGCAGCTAATAGACAGAGCCATGACTGATTTCTGCTGGGATCCAAGGCTGTGGCTGTGGAAGAAGCATAACCCTCTAGGGGTGTTAATGCTGTGAACCCCTCCATTGCAGGCTCAGGTTGTACATATGCACAGATAGACCACATCTCCTAAAGACACCAGAGTGTCCACTGTCCCTGATTCTGAGAAATCAAACCCTGGGTAAGCACCTGGAATCTTGCACTACTCGGAGCTTAGGGTGGCGTGCAACAGAATACATAGCCATCTGTAATCCATGGGATACAATAGAACTTTTCAGAGATGCTGAACATTTAACCACACTATTGCAACCACTTCATTTTGTCACCTAAAATGCATGTTTTGTGAAGTGTGAGAATCTGATACTGCGCAATGAAGCCATTTTAGAGGAGGATGGGGACAGATGAAATTACAACCAGCAGAAGGCCTGTATCCAGAACGTCACTTTTAAACAAGTAAAGACACTGGCCCCCATCAACAGCTTCATCTTTAATAATAAAGGCAGTTTTCATCGTCTTGGGCTGCTGCTATTGTTATAAGATGGTATGGGAAACTGTTAAAGTGCTATGGGTGCTGGATCCAGAGTAGCATGAGTGCACACTCTGGTCGTAAAATGGGGCTTCCCCACTCCTTCCCTGGAGAAGTGTTGAACAACAGCTCCTGAAAGATGGTGGGCTTTCTGGAATGGCATAGGATGTGGTACAGAATGCTGTAATGGGAGAGGAGAATTGGTAGAAATGGGACCAGGCACCTGCACCACCTGCCACTCCAGAAAGTCTCTGGATTGTTGGGACTCAGGAGTGATTATTGGGGAGTACAGGCAGCACGGTGGTTAGGGGCGAGTGGAAAAGTGCCATTGCACAAATGGTGTTCAAGCCCCACTCCTCTGGATCCATGGGTATAGCCAAGGGGGCAGCTGCCCCCCTAAATCAATCAAAATCAATGCAAATCTGAGGTTGTGCCCCCCAAAAAACCCTGGCTACACCCATGTCTGGATCCAAGCTTATCTTCTTGCTTCTCCAACTTTAAGTAGGAATATTGAGTATGATTCAGCTGAAGGAATTTTTGACCTATGTTGCCTACTGGTTGCATAAAGGAAATTTCAAAAATCTGTAGTCTGTATCTGGCAAAGTTTTCCCATCAACCTAGCTATTAAAAATATACCTATTAAAGCTCTATGTTGAAAGTTTGCCCCTTGCTGTCCTATTGTGCTTTGTACAGTATATAACCACATAACATAACAGAATGATTTCCCATACCTCAAAAGACTGCATCTGCAGTTTCAATATTGCATAGATTTATGGGCACAGCAAACACTATTTTATTTCCAAGGAGCAAGGTAATACAGGGGGTGGGAAGGTTATCTTTCAGGATCGAACTCTTGATTTAAGAATCAACACAATGATACAACAAAGAAAGCAAAAGGGCATAGAATAGTGAACAAGGCAGTGGTTAACTTTAGCAGTCTAAGAAATTATGTTAGACACAGTCCTGATTTTAAAGAGCAAAACTCAGAAAGAAAGCGAAGTATGTTTATCCATAGGCCCACGGGAAACTGTCTGATTACTGTCCCATTTATCACAGGCATCACACAGAGGGGAGTTCTGGGAAGAAACATTACAACTGCTGTAGAACAATACTATCTCAATATTGACGTGTCAAAGAACATAAAGTATGTCCAACACATAATAAGATCTGGACAGGGAAGATCTGGATAAATGAAACTATACTGCCTACACATACATTTTAAATCAGCCTTGCACGCTGGGAATCTCTTCACCAGGCTTTATGGGGAAAATTTATGTCAGACCTAAATAAAATTATGGCAAATTGTCAAAACAACAGCGCTTGTGGCACATTACTCCTGCCTCTAGAGTGAGGATGTATTTCCATATACACTGTTCGTCTTTCCACAGACACTATTTGAATTGCAGCTTCCTCATTTCCTATTCTCATGACAAATTCTGACTGCAGATGTACTAATCCAGACTTACCAAGCCTTGGAACTATTTATAGCTTCCAGATTTCTGCAATATAGTTTCTACAAGAGGCTAAGGACACTAGCACAGAGACCTTTCTTCTACCCAGTGTCTTGATACAAATATATTTTGCCATCATAAGAGGTGAACGGGCAACTGTTATTTAGCTGTGATGGTTAGTTATCAAGCTTTGGCTTAGTTAAGCTGGCTAATTGTACTAACCCATGGCTCGCAATACACTGCATAAATCTTTGCTCGTTTCTAGATATACAGTGGTACCTCGGGTTACAGATGCTAACCCAGAAATAGTACCTCGAGTTAAGAACTTTGCTTCAGGATGAGAACAGAAATTGAGTGGCGGCAGCGGGAGGCCCCATTAGCCAAAGTGGTACCTCAGGTTAAGAACAGTTTCAGGTTCCTCCGGAACGAATTAAGTTCTTAACCCGAGATACCATTGTACTATGCTTGACTTAACATATACATCCAAGAATGTACATTAAGCACAGCTAAGAATTAAACCAAGGATGAGCACAAAAACAAACACTTGCTTGTTCAGAACGAAATTGCATCAAAATAAACAGCATTTGACCAACTATGATTGTGGTGCTTGTATATTTATATGCAATAAAATGCTGCTGAAATAAACTGGGCCATTTCCAATTAAAAGCAAAAGATGAAGCTTCTCATGCAACACAGGCACTTTTATCCTCAGATCCTATAGAATTACAGTGCAACTTTTACATAAAAGTGGAGTTTTAATCCTTATAACTGGACCCATTACTCTACCTCTGATTTCACAACCTTACAGCAAAAATCAAACAAATCCTCAGTTGTTTTTCTACAAAAAAGCAAGTCACACCTTTTGAGACAATGTTTAAAATCTCCCCTAAACCAGTCATATTCTAGGAAATCCAGCTGATAGGCAACAAGATTATGCATATGAAGTGTTGGGGTTTTTAATACCTCATCACAATTAACCGCTATCAGACTGTGAATCAAAGGCTTCAGTTAACCCACTGTGCTAATGAAAGCCAGAGCAAGGGCTTCCACTAGTGCATTGCGGCTTTTCCTTTTCTGCCCCTTCCCCAAATCTGCTCTTGTGGGTCAGGGGAAATCCCAGAACAGCACATAGGGGAAAAGAGGGGGAAACATTCCACCTGACAAGTAGAAATGATTTTGCTGACGCAATGAAAAGAAGAATACAACATTGAATATGGAGAGGACACCATTTGATACAGGTGACAGCATTGATTTGGTTTGTACCAGACAATACAGACAGGTAAATAGGTAATGGTACATAAAGGCTTGGGGAAGAAATAGATTTAAGGCTGTAAAAGAAGTCAATAGAAGGCACAAATGCAGATATATGTAAATCAATAGTAGCGCCAGCTCCCAGTCAAAACTGTGGCTCAGGAATGCTTCAAGATAACATTGAAATGAACCACAAAAAAGTGCATTCCTTAATCTATTTTCTGATGCTTCCCAAGCATTCAAGACACATTCAAGAAGTTGGGAGGGAAAAAGTGTGACTTGCTCTGCAGGAAGAAGAGAGGTCTCTTGTCCAGGAGTCCAGGTTTTGTTTCTAGTTCTTCTGGTTTCAAGTGAAATGAAATGAAATATGAAGCCAGTATTTGGTAAAGTAGATGAAGAGCTTCCAATGGTCAGCATTTTTTTTTACTAAGGATTTCTATGGAAACAACTGAACACAAGAACCAAAGATTTTCTAGCATAGCATCCTATTCTCACAGTGACCAGTTGTCTCTGGAAAGCCTGTGAGCAGAACCCAAGTGCAATAGCACTCTCTCAATTTATGACTCCGAGAAACTGGTATTCAGACACATACTGCCTCCAACAGTGGAGGTAGAACATAGATATAAAGGCTAGTAGCAACAGAATACCCTCTGCGAATCTGTCTAATCCTTTTTAAAAGCCATCTAAGTTGGTGACCTGTGGGACACGGGTGGCGCTGTGGGTTAAACCACAGAGCCTAGAACTTGCCGATCAGAAGGTCGGCGATTTGAATCCCCGTGACGGGGTTAGCTTCCGTTGCTCGGTCCCAGCTCCTGCCAACCTAGCAGTTTGAAAGCATGTCAAAGTGCAAGTAGATAAATAGGTACTGCTCCAGTGGGAAGGTAAATGGCGTTTCCATGCACTGCTCTGGTTCGCCAGAAGCGGCTTAGACATGCTGGCCACATGACCAGGAAGCTGTACGCCAGCTCCCTCGGCCAATAAAGCGAAATGAGCGCCGCAACCCCAGAGTTGGCCACGACTGGACCTAATGGTCAGGGGTCCCTTTACCTTTACGGTGGTGACCATCACTACCTTTTGTGGCTGTGAATGCCATAGTTTTACTATGCAGTGTGTGAAGAACTTTGTTTTGTCTGTCCTGAAACTTCCAACATTAAGCTTCATTGGATGGTCCCAGTTTCTACTATTAGAAGAGGAGATAAACTTATCTCCAGCCACTTTCAGCACACCATCTGAAAAACTTCCACACCTCTAACGTATCCCTCTTATTTGCCTTTTTTTTCTAAACTGGAAAACTTCTAATGTTGTAACCTTTCCTCATAGGGGATTTGCACCAGCCCCTTGATCGTTTTGCTTTCCAAAGGCAGCCAAAACCCTTTTCCAGCTTTTCCAGTATGGTGTCACCAGAGATTTGCATAACAATATTAGGATTCTGGCAATTTAGGAATTTGCTTGTTTCATAGCTGACGCATACTGACTCAACATCTCCATCAAGCTCTTCAATATAATTGCCTGATCTTTTTTCCTGGTCACTCACTGTTGTTTTAGACGCTGTTTGTGTATATGTGAAATTTGTGCATGAATCCACAATATATGTGTTTCCTATCTCATGGTTTAGAGTTTAGCATATAATGCAGAGCCTATGATAAATGTAAACACACACCTCATACATCCAGGATTTAAATATAAGGCAGGGAAAACATATTACATGAATTCTTTCAGGGACCTTAAAAAAACTGATTGTCTAATACATTTTTCTTTCACCTTTTAATTAAAAAAATCAATATTGCTTTTGAAAACAAAACAAAAAAATCAATAATACAATAGCATTACTAATTTTCAGCACAATAAAACCAGTAACACATAGGAAACTGCACAAAATAATCAACTACAAAACAATAAAAAACTTGAAAGCAGCACTAAAGTTAGCTTCACTGATCATTAAAAACCTAGGCAGATAGGTTTCTGCCATCTCTGGGATGGGGTCCACAGTTGATATCACCACAGAAAAGACCCTCTCTGTGTCACCTGCCCAACTTTCAAAGGCAAGGTGACCTAAAGAAAGATACTAACAAGCAGCAGGCTCATATGAGTATAAGCACCTACAGTAGGTCCCAATAATGGAGCTTTGAATTTTGCCCCAGAATGCTGAGGAAGACTATGCTTTAACAACAGCAATGTAAGCTCCATGTATCTAGTTCATGAGAAACATTTGGTTGCCATATTCTGCACCAATTTAAGTTTCCATGTAGAATTCAAAGGCAGTCCTATATGTAACGTGTTGCTGTAGTCTTACCTGGATGTTACCAATGTATAGATAACCAGAGTATCCCTGTCTGGGGTGTGTGTGTGTGTGTGTGAGAGAGAGAGAGAGAGAGAGAGAGAGAGAGAGAGAGAATTAGTGCACCAGCCTTAGCTGCTAAAAAGCACTTTGTGGCATAGATGCCATCTAGGAATCAAAATTCATATCCAGCTGAGATACCTTAGGACTTTCATAAAGGCATTAAACAGTGTTGGATCCCCAATCTGTGAACTTGTTCTTTAAGTGTGGCTGCAAATCTACTCAGGGATGAACATAGCCTCTTTGGTCAGACAGATCACCCACAGGGTTGTATAGGCTGACATCCATCTGTCTGGAGAGACAATGGATAACTGCATCTTTGGGGGTGAGGTCAAGATGTTGCAAGGTTGCAGCGCCTGCCGTGGCTAAATCTCATTGGGATTAACATTCAGTTTATTTACCCTCAGTGAGTTTAGAACTTTCTGCCTTACCTACTTGACAGAGACCCAGAGAACACCTGCCTATTGATAATAAAAAAGGTAAAGGTAAAGGACCCCTGACAGTTAAGTCCAGTTGCGAATGACTCTGGGGTTGCGGCGCTCATCTCGCTTTACTGGCCAAATCTCCTTACCTCAAATCTCCAGATTGGTTTCTGTGGGGGTTTCATTAAGATGGTAAACAGAGTAGTAGGACTTCTCTTACATAGTAATGGTGATGACGTGGTAAAAACAAGTTCTGACACAGCTTATCTTTATCTTTTAGTAGATCAGTTTGTTCACACACCTAGTTTAGCTTCCAATACATTACTGGTGGGATACTATTAGAAGAGTTAGTCACTGCTTGGTAAGACAGATAGACTTCCTTGCTTTTCATTTAAAAACCTGGACAAACATGCTTAACTTGATTTACTAATATAATCATCATTATAACATATAAAAGCAGACCTTGCATAGAAATAAGTCAATTAAGAAGTCTCAGCACAGATGAGATTTGCAAGTTCCTGCATATCGTGCTGAAGATCTGCAGACTTTTCAACACAGGAAAACAACAACAGGAAGTTCAAGGTGACAAGAAAAGGCAAACTATGTGGTTTTGCACAGGCTTATAGTTTCCTCACGATGTGCAATACGAGTATGAATGATTACATTGGAATAAAATGAATTATATACAAATATAACTTTGCAAGTCACAGAATTCCTTGCCATATTATAAAGAATATTGCAGATAATACTTAAAGTCTTAAATACTGACTGCATATTCTTTATATTTTTTGTGAAGGTTCTTAGCCAGGTCACTATAGTTTGTGATTCTGTTTGTCTAGAAAATTAATTTGAGCCTAAGCAGTATGTGGGTAAAAGACCTCAAGGGGAAAATCAGGACCAACCCACCCATAAGGCAAGGGGAGGCAACTGCCTCAGGTGGCAGGATCCACAGGGGCAGCAAATCTGGCCTCCAATGAATGCGTCAGTGGCAGCGACAGCTGTGATGCGCTAGTTGGAGGTTGGCTCTGCTACCACCTCAGCAGCCCCTCCTCGCCTCTACAGCAACACTTCTGGTCTCCTCCTACCCTTGTTTCCAATGTAAAACTTTATTCCCCTCTTATTCCTATTGTAGATCTTCACTCTCCCCTTCTTCCCTGATTTGGGGGGGGGGGGGCATTTTCTTGTTTGCCTCAGGTGTGAAAAAATAATACCAAAAGTTACAATGATGATGAGACTGAGCCAATCATTGCATGGTGTAGAAAGGCTACTAATTTAGTAGGACAACTTTATTGCAGATGAAAGATACAACAAATTTATAATGCAAATAAGGATATGTTCAGATACAGTAGTAATAAACGTGTTTTGGTATTTACAACCACAACATTTTATTGCAGCTCATTTGACTTAATATTGGGTCATTTGCACAGTAAGCAGCTACATTGAACAGATAAACCATTGCAACTATTGCAAAAATAATAATCTGTTATCTTCTCTTTCTCCGTTAAGTATTTTCCCTATTACAATTAAGGGGGCAGGGGGATAGAAAATCAATTCTATAGAAACCTGCAATGATATGAACTACATGGAATGCAGTGTATGAAATGAGTTCTTTTGCCACAGAATTGTAAAGTTGGAAGGGGCCACAAGGGTCATTATTACTATTATTTATTTAATTTATATACTGCCCTATACCTAGAGGTCTCAGGGCAGTTCACAGAACATATAATATAACCCCCTGCAATGCAGGAACTGTTTTGCCCAACATGGGGCTTGAACACACCAACCTTGAAATTAAAATTCTCATGCTCTACCAACTGACCTGCCCATACTGATTTTGTGGATTCTGATAGCTGTAACTTTTTATTCTTTCAAGTGCACATATATGGGAACTGGACCAGAAGTAGCCAACGTGGTGCCCTCCAGATGTTGTTGGACTCCCAACTTCCATGAGTCCCAGCCAACATGCTTAGTGGTCAGGGATGATGTGAGTTGCAGTCCAGCAACATGCTGGCTGTATTCGGTCTAGACCAGGCTTCCTCAACCTCGGCTCTCCAGATGTTTTGAGACTACAATTCCCATCATCCCTGACCACTGGTCCTGCTAGCTAGGGATCATGGGAGTTGTAGGCCAAAAAAACGCCTGGAGGGCCGAGGTTGAGGAAGCCTGGTCTAGACAACCAAGAAACCAGTGAGAGGAAAATAAAGGGATTGTGGCTGGCGATTAGGACCAATTACGCTTCCTGCAATTTGGAAGTCTGATTCTAGCAGCAGGAGAATGTGTGATGGACAAGTGTTGCTTTGGCTGACCTATGTACAGGCACCTCCCCACTTGCACATGATAGGCAACCATTGACACACATGCCAGTTTGGGCACGAAAAAGGGGCAGAACAGGGTGGGTCACAGGTGGAATGGGAGTGGAACGTGCTGGAACTTATTTCTGGGCAGTGACTCAGAACAGAACCCCCATGTAAGCAAGGATTCCCCTGTACTCATAATACAAAAAGCAAACAAAACAAAAAACCAAGCTTGCAGTGCTCTTTACACATTACAGCAAACACAGCTTTCACAGACCTCTCCATGTAGAAGACTTATATTTTGTGATTTTGGAAGGACTAAGGACCCAGCCAAGTCCAAAACAAGTGGTACACTCTGAACAATATATGCTAATCAGTTTATTACTTATTTTAAGCAGTTACAAAACTGATATTCTATTTGCCTCATACTCATTTTATAGTGGAACTGTGCTACTGAATAGTTCCAAGTAGTTTGAAGCCTCTTAGAGCTAACCACCCAACCACGTGAACTATTTTTGTATATTTTCATTGCATTATATTAACAAATGAATGCAAATGCAAGCTATCCATGGCGTTTTACAATTTAAAACGCAGCATTCATACAAATGGTACAAAATATTATTAGCTAAAATGTTCTGCAGGAACTGATGGCGCTACCTTGGGCTTCAAAGGTTTTGCCTTCCCTTTAGGACAAGCAGGTCTTAAGTAGCCTCAGGTAAGGTGGAGGAGGAGCTGCCCCAACAGGTCCTTCAGGCCACTGATGGTTCTGTCAGGTGTTGATGGCAACATGCTCTTTGGCATACAAGCGTCATTGGAACGTGTATAGTCTTATAAAAACTAGGAACAGTGAGTCAAAGTGTTGTGTTTTTAGTTTTTTCAAAACTATTGTTTGACGGGTATGCAACTTTATACAACTATAACCAGGATTGATATGATCATGTCATTTTGATGCAAACTAGAAAGCAACAAAACACCACCAGCACAAACTGGCTTATAAGTATAAAACCAAATTTACTAGAATAATGGAATAGAGATTGACTTGTAACCATTCAAACAACAAACATACTAAAGGTGCCATGTGCAAGACAAAGCCTGGAGATACATTATACAGACTGGTTAAATGAACTGTTCAACAGGTAGCGTAAGTCCAATCACAGAACGGCAACCCCGTGCCGCCACAATGTCAAGGGTAGCACACTGGAGAATATGAAGAAGTTTTTCAAAGCTGTTTTTCAAAGATTGAACTGGATGAGATGTTCTTCAATGGATCCTGAGTTGGAAACACAAAGCTGTATGCATGGATCAATCACGGGAAGGCAAATCAAAGCCATCACCCTGGTGAGAATAATGCAAGTGGGCAAAAGGAAACCTGTTCTCTGGATATATTACAGGTTTCGCTACACGCTTCATCAGTCCGAAAAGCCAATCATACAAAACGGTTTGCTCAGGATAAAGAAAGTATACTCCTTTTGCCCACCTGTGTTAAACGGTTCATTTATCCAGTCTGCATAATGTTTACTGCAAATGTAACTTGTTAAGATAGAGTTGTACATTTATCCACTCCATGTTTACAGTATCTCCAGGTTTTGTCTTGCACATGGCACCTTAGTATGTTTGTTGTTTGAATGGTTACAAGTCTCTCTCTATTCTAGCTATTGTTTTATACTTATAAGCCAGTTTGTGGTGGTGGTTGTTTTGTTGTATTATTATTACTGTCACCACATTTGATACTTTGTGTATATACTTTGCAAACTAGAAAGCAGCCAAGAACAATTAAGAAACCCAGTTGAACGTTGTACCCTGTTCAGCAGAGGTTTCATTTTCGTATATTATCCACACCAGTGCTAAAGGGCATCCGCTCCCCCCGCCGCCTCCCTATCTCAATCTACACGGGACCACGTTTCCCCAGAAGCAGTCCTGAATTCGACAGGACTAGCACCTCAAGTCACCAGATGTCCATAGTGCGTGAACACGCAACAAATAAAATGACGCTACTAATTCCTTGCCCCTCAGGTTTCCTGGACCTATCTAAAAAGGTAGGTTTGCAGTTTCCTGAAACTGCCGCTTGCCCTTCAGGTGCCTTGCCCGAAACTAAAAAAAGAAAAGAAAGGAGATAACACAGTTCCCCTTCGCAGCAGCGGCGCAGCGTTTCCATTGCCTCGAGGAGAAGAGACGGGAACCTTCGTTCGGGCTACGCCTGCGCCTCACCTGGACACACCTGTGCTCACCTGAGCCTGCGCGGGCGCCTCCTCCCCCTCCTCCTCCAAGCCCGCTGCCCTCTCGCCTCCCTGCCCCGCCCGCTCTCGGCCGCCGCGCAGGCGCACTTGCCGCTCGCCCGGCAACACTCCCGGGGCTCGGCTCAGCGCTGTCATGGCGGCAGAGAGCAGCAGCAGCAGCCGCCGCCGCCGCCGCAGCAACTGCTAAGGCAGGCAGGAAGCGATGGAGGAGCTCCTCGCGGCGTCGGCGGAGTGAAGGAGCTGCACAGGAAACTTCCAGCCGCTTGCCTGAGGTCGAAGTTCTTTGCCCATCCCTCCTCTCTACCCCGGGCAGGTAGAAGCCCGGCTGTTGGTGGGGAAGCACCGGAGACACCTCCCGCCCGTGGAGCTGCCTGGGGTCGGCAGAGCCTCGTCCCTCCCCGCCGGCCCCGTCCGCGGCAGAGGCGAGGAGGAGCAGCAGGGCTGGGTGAGTGGGAACTTCTTTGCCGGCCCTACTTTGTCCTTGCACCTGTGACTGTGCGTGAAGGGAGGAGCGGAGCTTGCAGTTACCTCAGCTCCTGGAGCAGCACAAGGACGGCGGAGGGAAGCACTGCAGAAACAGAGCGGGGCAGGGGAGAGGCGCGTCTCTAATAATAATAATAATAATAATAATACAGAAGTAAACGCCTTCGGGAGTCCCGCGCTCTCTTCTTTGCAGGCAAGTTTAGTGCCTGACAAAGAAAGGGGCTCACCTGCCTGATGCAGTTGCACCTGCCCTCATTTTCTGGGTTGAGGGGGGGTGAGTGCAAAGAGAGAATGGGGTAGTGTTTCTTGATTAGTTAGATGACAGGCTTTTTCAAATGTTTTCAACAAGCTGCGTCTGCTACTAATTTTTTAATATAATTGTCTTTTTTTTTAGTTTTCAGATTAAAGAGGCCGCTGTCCTTGTGCCGAGGGAAGGAAAACAAGATTATCTCAGCGCTCAGAAACTGGACCCGAGGCTACGGATTGAACTCTTTTTATTTCTGGGGTGCTGGCTTCTGCTGGCAACCTGGAAGTGAACTAAGCTATGGCGAGTGGAGACAAACAGGTTGCTTCTCCTCGGCCAACAGGTGATGATGGAGGAGGGGGAGGTGGTACCGGAGGAGGAAAAGAAGGAAACGCGGTCGAAATGGAGAGCAAGCTGCAGCCTTTGAATCCAGGAATCCCTATTCGTGGTATCAGGATGAAATTTGCTGTTCTGACAGGACTGGTGGAAGTCGGAGAAGTATCCAACAGGGATATTGTGGAAACTGTGTTTAATCTGGTAAGGCAATCACCTTTCTAACTCTTTAAAGGAGAAGGATGGTATGTGGTGAAACATAAGGAAAGCAATACATTCTACCCACATTCATATTACTTCATTCTTACAGTTAAGGCTGCCCGCCTACCTATTTGTCACAGGGTGGTGCATCTGGTAAGCTATTCTCCCGGAAGGGATCCTTACTTAGGCCTTACTTAGTAACCGTGAGGCTGCAATACTTTTCCCACTCACAGTTGTTCTGTTTCCTTGTTTTCCCGAGTTATAGCTTCTATCAAGGAACTTTCCTGCTATTTACACCTTCATAGAAGTCATTTGAAAGCACTTAGGTTCTAAATAGTTTTGCTGTCATCTCTGTTTGCAATGCTTAAATGTATTTTGGGATTTTAGGCTAATTCACAGTTGGAATATACCATTGTTAACACACAATTGCTGGTGCTGCAAATTTTAGGGCTCTGATGTAAGGCTTTGATTTTGCAGAGGTATGCCTCTTTTCTCCCATGTGAACATTTTAAGCCCATTTTCAGTAACCATAGTAATATAACTCTTTGTAGATATTTCTACCAATTTGGGTAGAACTTGAAACATTGTGCATCAGTGTTACTTACCTTGGGAGCACTCAACTTTTCCTAGTAATAAGAATTTCCTTGGAAAATGACAAATGCTACACCAAAACAGAAGGATTTGTTTAACAGTAAGATTATATTTGACTATCACAATTGTAATGGCAACGGATAGTAATTATGTGATATTCTGAATAGTGGTGCCTGTTCAATGTACATTTACATAAACATTAGATGAGGATAAGTTATATTGCTGCCTCCACCATAGGTAAGAATGGTTGAGTTGAGAAGGCTGTGCTCCAACACTGCTTAAATGTAATCTGGCTTTAAAAAGTAGAATGGAAAGCTCAAAGGCACAGTGTATAGTGTTCCACATGTGTGTAAGTATCTGGAGACCGAATTCTTGATCTGCAAGAATTTAAGTTCTTTTGCAAATCTTTTTTGGCCCTGCTGAGGGTTGTCGGTTGGTGC